CTCCAGAAAAGACCATCCAGAAGCAGCATGGATCACCCAGAAGAAACAATCTTAGGAAGAAAGGAAGATCCAATCAGAACAAGATCTAGCTTCAGAAACTCTGAAGAATCCCTCATGGGACTGGTTTCTCTAATTGAACCAACAACAATTGATGAAGCACTTCTGGACAATGAATGGATTCTAGCAATGCAAGAGGAGCTAAATCAATTCACAAGAAATGACGTATGGGATCTAGTTCCCAAACCAAAAGGATTCAACGTCATTGGTACAAAATGGGTGTTCATAAACAAACTGAACGAACAAGGTGAAGTCATCAGAAATAAAGCACGACTGGTAGCACAAGGTTATAGTCAGCAAGAGGGGATAGACTATACAGAAACCTTTGCTCCAATCGTTAGATTAATCAAACCCCAAAAGGAACTTACATTCATCAGAGCAAATATGTCAGAGAACTTCTGAAGAAATTTGATCTCTCAGAATGTAAGCCATTAAAGATTTCAATGCATCCCACATGCATTCTGGAAAGAGAAGAGGTAAGTAAAAAGGTAGAACAGAAGGTCTACAGAGGTATGATTGGTTCTTTTCTCTATCTGACGGCTTCAAGGCCTGACATTCTATTCAGTGTTTGCATTTGTGCTAGATTCCAATCAGATCCTAGAGAATCTCACTTAACAGCAGTTAAGCGAATTTTCAAGTATCTGAAAGGTACTACTAATCTGGGTTTGTTTTATAGAAAATCAAGTAATTACAGCTTGATAGGATACTGTGATGCTGATTTCGCTGGAGGCAGAGTAGAACGTAAAAGCACTTCTGGAAGCTGCCAGTTTCTGGGAGAAAATATGATCTCATGGTCCAGCAAAAGACAATCCACAATAGCTCTATCAACAGCAGAAGCTGAATACATAGCAGCAGCTGGATGCAGCACACAAATGCTCTGGATGAAAAGTCAACTTGAGGACTTCAAAATATTTGAGAGTAACATCCCTATCCTCTGTGACAATACTTCTGCTATTTGTCTCAGTAAAAATCCTATTTTGCATTCTAGGGCTAAGCATATAGAAATAAAACATCATTTTATTAGGGACTATATTCAGAAAGGGATTCTAAATTTAAAATTTATTAACACAGACCATCAATGGGCTGATATCTTTACAAAAACTCTTTCTGAAGATAGGTTCAACTTCATTCTAAAACATCTCAGCATGAAGCTCTGCCTAGAATAAAACTGTTTTGATTCCATATCTTAACCTTCAGAACTTTGTTTATTTTTCCGTGAACTACTGATCAATCTTTCTTCAGATCTTTAGAAGTACATATTGTATTAGAATCTATCCATGAAGATCTGTGCGCTTCATTTCAAGGATAGAAATGTGCAGTTCACTCAAGCAAACAGGTGTCATCCAGTCATCAGCTACTTTCTGAGGCTGAACACGCGTTCACGTTTCTGAAAGGTCAAAAGCGCTGATTGGATGCATTGGGACACATGTCATGGGTAACCGTTTCAATATCTTTCTGAATCCCCCAAAATCAGCTATCATTAAATGCTCATAATCATTATAATTTATTTCTCTCTCTTGCCGTTTATGTTTTCAAAATCCTTTTAAAAATCTATTTAAACACGTCTCTCACTACTTACACTTTTTCACTTTCACTTTCATTTTCTCTACAATCTTATTGAATTCAGTTTGGATCCTTTCTCAAAACCCTTTCAATTTCTTCTCAAAACCTTCGGTGTGAACATGGCTTCCTCAAGCAACCCTACTTCCAGCACTCAGAAAACAGATTCCTCCGAACAATATGAAGAACCCTTCAGAACTCTTCTCACACCCATCAAAAATATAGAAGTTCTTTCAGAATTGATTGTGGACTTTAACAGTCTTCAAGAGAACGTGTTTAATCTCTCTGAAGAAGTAAAGGCTCAAGGCTGGGACAAATATTTTGACCGACTGGTGGGTCCAAAATTCCCAATCCTTGTGAAGGAATTTTGGATTCATGCTTCATCTTCCAACCATCAAGTTACTTCATACATAATGGGGAAGAAGATAGTCATAACTGAGGACTTCATTGCAAGATTAATAGGCTACAATGGTGGTGGTGTACGATGCATTGACATGGCTGAAAGATGCGCTGATGTCGCCCTAATTGCTAGAGAAATCTTCACTCTGGGTCTTCCCTCCAGCAAGATAAGGGATCTAAAAGACCATCACAGAATATGGGCCAAGATTATTCTGGGATGCATAAACCACAGGAAGCCTACCAGCTCTCCTGACTACATCAATATTGATCAGCAATTTCTGATCTACTTCATCTCCCAGAAGATTAAGGTGAATCTGGTTCACCTGCTGTTTAACCATCTAAGGACTAGTGTTAAGGAAACCAGAGAAGAGGAGCGCACAAAAAGGGACTGGATACCCCTAGGAAGGCTTATATCAGATATTCTAACAGAGAATAAGCTAATTGATCATCTAACAGAAGCTCGGGAAATCAGCTCTTTGGAAGCTACTGTTGGCAAACAGTTGAATGCAAAGAATCTGAAGAAGATGAAGTTAATTGAGAACATCAAGAAGGAACCCAGTGTCACTCCTTTTGCAGCAATCTCCAGCAGAAGAATCCCTCTGAATAACTTTCCCTTGTTCTCAGAGATTGATTCTAAACCTGATATAATAGTCAGATATCTGGATGCATGCAAGGCGGATGGTACAACACCAGATTTGAACATTCAGGATCTGCAGCAGAAGGCTCCAGAAGTTTTGCTAAAGAAAACAAAGAAAAGGAAAGCTGTAGCAGAAGGATCATCCCAGCGGACTCCTAAAAAGAGAGGTAATCCTTCTTCTGTAACTGTTTTAAACTAAATTTCTGTATCGACATCTATACCAATTCCCACTCAATCAGAAAACCCCACACCACAAACATTTGATGACTTTGACATTGAATTCGACCCCTCAGAAACCTTAACTCTTAGAAGATCTCGCTCTCTACCTACAAATCCAAATATTGAAGCAACCCAACAAGAACTTGCAAAAGTTATATCAGACATAGAAACCTTTGACAAACATACTTCTGCTCGCATGTCAGAAAATCCAAACTCTGAAACCACCACAGAAGCACCACAACCAGAAATTCCCCTCTCTCCACAACCAGAAATACCACTACCTCCATCTCCTCAACCAAAAATTCATCCACCCTCTCCACAACCTGAACTATTTAAACTAGAAGTTCAAACTTCTTAGGCTCAACCTTCTGAATCCTGTGAACCAGAACCTCATAATGATCAATCAAACCAAACTGTTGATTCTGATACCATTCCCATTCCTGGAATCACTGAACCTCTGGCAATCCGTATGCCCCTAACCACACTGGATATTCCCGAAATTCCCTCTTCAATAGAATCAACTCCACCAAACTCCCAAACCAGTCCAATAATAATTCCTGACTCTCCCACTCCCTCACCAAAGAACAATCCAGATGACAACATCAAGACTGTCATTGATTTAACAGTTTTTGAACGTCTTGCTGCCATAACCCACAAAACAGCTATTCCAAAACCAAAACCATCTGAACCCTCCCCAGATGTTGGTACCAGCTTATTGATATTTGAAACAGAAGTACATAAGTGGATCACTTCTCTGAAGCAAGCTAGTCTTGAGTTGATTGATCCTGCTGCATCAGACTACCTTTGGACAAGGTTCAGAAGATGGGTATGTTCTGAAACTCATAAGATGCAAGAACAGAGCTACGGACAAGTTCAACAGAACTTCAGTAATCTACTGAAAGTAATTGAAGATCAAGTTCTGAGCCAGCTGCTCAAGGAAGAAGTTCTCCCTATGGACAATGCTCCCTGGTCTGAACATCGTCCTGCATACAAAGTTCAACCAGAGTCAGAAGATCTCAATCTGACTGATACTTCAGAGCAGATGATTCCTGCTGAAGAACTGCATCAAAAAGAGGATATTGCAGAATGCTCTGAGAAGCATCCAGTTACTGAAGATCCTCAAGCTTCCTCTTATGAAAGGCAGACTCTAGAAGACCTGAAAAGATCTGATATTTTGATGAAGGAAAGAATGGATAAATAGGACGACAAAATTGAGGTAATCACGAGCATGTTAACCAAGCAACAGGAAACCAACATCCAGATCAAGAGCATGTTGGAAGCTTTGTTCACGCGTCTACCTCCTCCCTCTTAGAATTTCCTCGTTTTTAAAACATGTTTATCTGTAATATTCTTACATTGTTGATGTTCTGAACTTCTCGTTGATTCTGGTTTTTAATATAAATGCATTTTGGCTCTGATTATATGTTCTTTTTGATAACTGACAAAAAGGGGGAGAAAGAATAAGATATTTTCAATAACGGATTACTGAGACATAAGTCTCAAACATTCTGATCTATTTAAATTTCTCTCTTCTGAAAAGCTTGAACAGGTACAAAACTCTGATGAAAGATACAATAAGGTTCTGATGCTCAAAGACTCATGGAATTAAAGGGAAGTAATCAACTCAGGGGGAGTTTCCCTTCTTAATTCTATACTTTTTATTCTTTATTTTTAATTGAAAAATCTAGTTTTTGTCATCACACTACAACATTTGTTGTCTCTGGCAACACTTAAAAAACGTTGCAAGAACTCTGAAAATCGTTGCCTAAAAGAATAAGGGACGTTTTCTAGGCGTCTCCTGTGCGAGCGTTGCCTATTGTCTATGGGGACATTTTTTCATGTTCTTTGGGCACGCTTTTTATAATCGTCGCCTAAACAAATGGATTAGGGGACGATTATTTGTGGCCTTTGAGGCAACATTTTTTAAGCATTGCCATTTGCGGCTATAATTAGTAAGCATTGCCTTAAATATGAATTAGGAGGATCATTTTTAAAGTGTAGTCATAACTTGTAGGCTGTTCTTTTACAATGTCACCATAAAAAATATTTACTATAACTTAAACAAGATCAAATGTAACGGTACTTCCACAAAAGTTGTATTATAATAAAATCAAGTTCAAACATTAATTCAAGATTGTATCCGGTAAACAAAATGCCTAACGTAATACATAGTTTCTTTAAGTCTAATGCTTATGAACAAGTCTAAAACAACAACATCCAATTCATTCAAGTTTGTCAAACTCATCATCATCTTCATTGCCCTCTTTATCATATATGTCATCCTCTTGAAGCTCGTCACCCATGTCGTTCTCTTGAAGTTCTTCACATAATTCATCTTTATCACTTGAATTGTCTGCATGAAATTGGTCAAATTACGACATCGTCCTCGTCAACATCTTCATTGATACCTTGTTACATAAGAAAATGAAAACAAATCAACCAAAACAATTCTTACAAAAATCTAAGCCACTACCTTTTTTAACAACAAATATATTATTAACAAGATAGAATTCTCCAACTAATTCATCTGATCCAAACAAGAAATGGAAATCATCCAATCCCAACAACTAACCAAACAATTAAAATTATAAATGAATGTAACTTTATGATGTTAACCCATTGGAGTGTACATAAGCATTGATTTTTCCAATCATAAGTGGAATACATACAAAAATAAATTCTAAATTAGTATATAAACAAAATATTTACATGATTCAACCAGAGATGCATCAAACTAACTATATAAGTTTATAGATTTTTCAATTCAAATCAATTGAAATTTTCTACATTCCACCTACACGCATCAGAGAGAATCCTTCATGTTGAAATTAATATATAATCTTACCCAAAAAAAAGTTAATCTATAAAAAACTCTAAATTTTCTTGGTGGTTTATTATAGCAGCAAAGGTATTTCATTTTGTGAATCCATTTATTTCATTTCAAGTCAAAACCAACAAAAACATGTCATGGTATCCATTCATGAATTAAGATATTTGCAACAAAAAAAAGTAATTGTTGGAGCATATATTGACATTAATAATGTAGCTTTATTTAAAGGTAAAGAAAAATTATTGCACTATGTAGATAAGAAAATGGCATACACATCAAGCGTAATTATTTTCACAATCAATTATTTGCTAATCTTTATTTGATAAGCATAACTTAATAACATGAAGAGAAAAAAAACTAAGTTCTTATCATGAGTCAGTAAAACAATAGAAACCTATACTACAAGTTTTCAGAGAAAGAATTCAAAAAACATGCATCTTTTTGACAATATCATGAGTCAGTAAAAGAATAGAAAGTTATACTACAAGTATACATAAACCCAAAATAAATAACAATGATCAGAACTTTTAAGTTCTTATCAGATTGAACATACATAAGTTTCAACCAAAACAAAAAAATAAAAAAAATTTAATTATAGATATTATCATTTATAAGCCAAGACCACCCTTTTGGTTTTTAGAAGATGTTATGCAAACATGGAGATCAAAATCAGTTGAGCTTCAAAGAATTTCAATTTAATAGAATTTGTGTACTAGGAGTTACACACTGATAGTGTGGCACCATACCATTTTGTGAGGTAGACCTTACATTGCATCATCTGATTATATATAACAAACAACATTCACTCAACAACAATCAGTCTATAAAGACAGTATACAAACATCTAACGGCCCAATTCATTCATACGATGCAGTGTCGGTAACAACATACATTATCTATTTCCATGCTTCATATCTTCTCTCTTTTTTAGCACAAACAATAAATACACAAAATGGAAAATAGTGAAATAATGAAGAATCTAAACTATGCCTTGTGTCTCGGTTCTTTCTGAAATAGAAAATAGTGAAGAACCGAAAAATATAAAGATTCACATATTGAAACAAAAAAATTCACGCATTAAAACATAAATCAGACCATAAAACCAGTCAACAAATCGACATAACTGAAATTGCTTTGAAACTTACAGAAAATGAAGACACAAATAAGATAGCAACAAAATATTACCAGCGGCACACTCGCAGCAAACGACGACCAGCACCATCAAGAGTTTCTGAAATTTTGATTAGGAATATGAGGGAAATCGGCTATTTCAATTTTAGTTATAAGGGGCAAAGATTTCAATTAAGGTGGTGAAGGTAAAAACAATTTCGATGGTGAAAGTTGAAATTGGTTTGGATTTTGAAGGTGAAAATCAATTTGGGTCTCAGGTTGAAATTAAAATTGGATTTGAATTCTAAAGTTAAAAAAGAACTTAGGTTCTAGGGCGAAATTGATTTCCCTTCAGTGAAAATCGATTTGGGTTTTAAGGTTGAAAACAAAATTGGAGTTGAGATCTGATGTTCAAAGAATTTGGGTTCTGAAGAGATTTATCTTTGGTGAAAATCTATTTAGGGACTCATATTGAAAACAAGAATGAAATACAAAATCAATTTGTGTTCGAAAATGATATCGATTTCGAAAAGGAAGGTTGAAATTAAAAGAGAATGAAAAACCTAAATCAAATTTGGGTTCAATGAAAAAAATATGAGAAAGAGTAACGATGGCTTCATTTGTTTTAGGGACGGTTTTTTGATAAAGATTTTATCTCTTAACAAATATTAATATTATTATTATGTTTATATTATTTTATTATTATTATGTTTTATAAAAATAATTATATAATATTAATTATATAAATTCTTACGTAACATTAAAACTATTAATTTTAATTTATAAAATAAATAATCAGTGTTATATTTTTAATTAAACATTCTAAGTTTTACTAATAAATAACAGTAAATAAACGTGAACATATTTTCAAGAAAATTGTTATCAAAATTTTCATTAATATTTTATTTATGACAAGAAAAAATTATATCTTTTTATTAAAGTATTTTATATAGAAATGTATATATGTTTAAAAGGAAGATTGCAATCCAGATCTTTATTAATATTAAAGTTTTATGCAAAAAAAAAATTGTAAATGGTGCAACAATTACAAAACGTCCTCATAAGCGTTTAAGGGGACAATTATTGAGTATTGTCAAAACAATAACTGAGGTACATTTAAGAACCATTTTCAAAAGTGTCCTAGGGGACATTTTTAAGTTGTTGTAAAAATATTGTTAGCATCGCGCGCAAAATGTTGCCAGAAATATGTTTTTGCAACAATTTTTACATGTTGCATTAAAAAGTGTTGCCAAAGAGAACAAATGTTGTAGTGTCATCAAAAAGGGGGAGATTGTTAGAACATAGTTTGATTCTACAACCCTTGATTAGAGTTTTGATGATAACAAAATAAAAAGAATAAATAAATTCAAAGATATATATATAAAACAAATATGCCTCTTAAAATTATGTTTTGTATATTCAGAAGTTCTGATGGAATCAGCATCAGAAGATCAGTAATATGTGCTACACGCTGAAGCTACCAGATTATACACTGAAGCTTGATGACCAGAATCTGCGCATAAACAAATACACTTTGACTCTGATCAAAGATCGTTACCAAGTCATCAACACTCTGAAGCGTTATCATAAGTTAAAGCAAAGAAGACTCTGAAGCGTTATTAATTATTCAAGACAGAATTAAATGCTAACGGCTCTCTTCAGACAAGATCTTCTTCAAAAGGAAAGTGTGTTGTTGTCATTAAACTGGCTTTATGGACAACATATATTTGCCTTACCTATATAAACAAGTCTGATTGAGAAAAGATACACGCATGCACTCACATAATTTGCCAAGCCTTCAAAACCACGCTTATTCAAACGCTTTAGCAAATTCAGTTTATTCGAAGCTTAAGTTGTGTAATTATCACAGTTGTGATATATTGTTTTGTTAGAAAACGTTAACACATCCTTGTTCAATTATTTGTAAAAGATTTCCTTGAAATAAACCGGTCTGTGGTTGTACTCAAGAAGACTTTAACAGTTGTTAAAGTAGCTGTTGTAATCCTTTGAAAATAGTGGATTAAGACCTCGTTGGAGAGAGGCAAAATCACCTTGACGGATGGAATGGAGTAGTTTGAGATCAAACGAACCAGGATAAAAATACTGTGTTGTCAAACCATTTGTTTTAAGTTTTTCAATTCAACCCCCCCTTCTTGTGTTTTTCACATCTTCAGTCTCCTCCTGCCATACCTGAAAAATTATCTTGGTACTACAAAGTTGATATGAATTGTGCCTTTCATCAGGGAGCCTCAGGGCATATTATCAAAAATTGTTATCCATTAAAACTAAAGTTCAGAAGCTAGTGAGATCTGGTATCCTGTCTTTCAAGGATATAGGTCCAAATGTTCAAGCTAATCTGGAACCCAAGCATGGAGGAGGGAATGATGTGAACATGGTTTCTCGATGTCCTAGAGAGTTCAGAATTGGTAAGAGGTAATTAGGTGTAAATGCATGTTGATCTTTGTGAATTCAGTTACTACACACATGATCATGCAGGTTGCAGTATTTATAGTGCAACTTTTCATGGATGTGATAAAGTGAGAAGTGACCTTTAAGAAACGATAGATGAGGACCTTATCCATATCATCCGACCCAGAGTTGAGTAGGAAGAGGTTAATATGACTGAAGACCATGATGTTGATTTTATGTTTTCTAATGAGCCTATGAATTCTTATGGGTTTATGTCTTCTGATGAATTTGTATTTTCTGGATGAGTTTGAGTCTGCTGATGAAGGTGTGATTTCTTATAATGATTTTGTAATTCCTAATGAAATACATGTTGAATGTGTTGATGAGGTCGAGGTGAATGTCATTGTACCATACTTTGACATTCCCACTCACGTGGAAATTTCATACTGCAATAAGTCTGTAGCAACTCTTGTGGTTATCTGTTTAATTAGTCATGTTCCGTATGAGTCTGATAGGGATATACCTTACAAGTATAATACAACAATTCTAGAAGACGGTAAGGAAATTCCAATTAAGCCTTTAACTCATGTTGAAAACATTGTTGAGGCCAGTCGGGTGACCCATAGTGGTCGTGTATTTGCTCCTACCTTTCAAGGAAGTGTGAATTCTGGTAAGAAGATCGTTGAAGCTAGTGTTGAACCCAAGAAGGGAGAATGGAAGACTAGTGGTGTTGTGTTGGAAAAGGACGTTGATGATACTTTGAAGATTATTAAGATGAGTGATTATAAAATTGTTGACCAATTGCTGCAAACTCCATTCAAAATTTCCATTATGGAATTATTAATAAATTCTGAAGATCGTCGAGATTTTGTTGAACAGTATGTCTCGATTGATCATTTTAATGGTGTTGTGGAGAATATCATGGCTTGTAATAATTTGAGTTTTGTGACGATGAATTGCCTGATGAGGGAAGAAATCACAATATATTTTTGCACATATCTCTGAATTAC